AAAAAAAAAAAGACAAGAAAAAATATACACCAAAATTAATTTTTTTTTTAAAAAAAACACACTTTAGAAGTTCATGTGATAATTGTTGGGTTGTGATAAAAAATTAAAATTTTTTTTTTTTATTTTTTCTTATTTTTTTTTTTATTTTTTTTAAAATAAAATATATTTTTTTTTTAAATTTTTTTTAAAATAATTTTTTTTTTTTTTTTTTTTTTTTAAAATATTATTTTTACCTTTATGGAAAAATTTTTATTTTTATTAAAAATTAATTTATTTATTTATATTTTTTTTTTTTTTTAAAAAAAACCCATTTGAAAAAAAAAAAAAAAAAAATATCAAAATTAACCCCCCCCCTAACCCCCTAATCCCATATTTACCCATACTTCACAAAATATATAAAATAAAAGGTCAAAAGTTGAAAAGTTATTTGAATTTAAAGAAGAATTAGGAAGGTAAAAAAAAAACAAAAACCAATAATAATTAAATAAAAATTATAACAATAATAATAGTAGTAATAATAATAATAGGAATAATAAAACTAGTTTTGTTTTTGTATTTTTATGTTTTTTTTTTATTTTTTTAATTAAATTTTATTTTTAGATCAATTTTATGTTTTGTTTAAAAAATAATATTTAATTGTTTTTTTTTATTTTTTTTATTTGGATGACAATAAATATATATTTTGTAAAATGTTTATAACTTACTAATATTTATTCTATATTACAGAGGCGCTTTTTCAGTTGTATATCTTGGTGTTAATAGACAAACTAAACAAAAATATGCCATCAAGGTTATTAATAAATCAGAATTAGGTTCAGATTATGAAAAGAATTTAAAAATGGAAGTCGACATTTTAAAGAAAGTTAATCATCCAAATATTATTGCCTTAAAAGAATTATTTGATACTCCACAAAAATTATATCTTGTTATGGAACTGTAAATATATTTTATTTTTTTATTATTAGATAAACAATAATCTTTATAACATCATACAAATTATAATGAAAATTATAATTATATAACCCTATAAGGTTTATTTATATTTTCAAACACTTTATCTATTATAAAGTAATATTAATTTTAAACTAATCAAAATCTATCAAATATAAAATTTTATCAAAATTAAAATTTTATTTTTTATTTACAAAATGACAGTGTTACAGGTGGTGAATTATTTGATAAAATTGTCGAAAAAGGTTCATATTCAGAACTTGATGCTGCCAATTTAATTAGAAAGATCGTTTCAGCTGTTAAATACCTTCATTCATCAAATATTGTCCATAGAGATTTAAAAGTTTGTATCATCATTATTAATATATAATTTTAAAGTCAATATTTCATTCATAAATATAATTATAATAATAAAAATATTTAGCGATAATAATAATAAATAGCCTGAAAAGTAATAACAATATTTACTAACATATTATTAAATTTATTATTTTATAGCCAGAAAATTTACTCTTAAAATCAAAAGAAAATGACTTGGAAGTTGCAATTGCTGATTTTGGTTTATCAAAAATTATTGGTCAAAGTGTTGTTATGGCTACAGCTTGTGGTACACCAAGTTATGTTGCACCAGAAGTTCTTAATGCAACCGGTTATGATAAAGAAGTCGATATGTGGAGTATTGGTGTTATCACCTATATTTTACTTTGCGGTTTCCCACCATTCTATGGTGACACTGTTCCAGAAATTTTCGAACAAATTATGGAAGCCAATTTCGATTATCCAGAAGAGTACTGGGGTTCAATCTCCAAACCTGCAAAAGATTTTATTAATAAATTATTGGTTGTAGATGTAACTAAGAGACTTTCTGCTGAAGACGCCCTCACACATCCATGGTTAAATAATAGTGTAATTATTAATTTTAATATTCATAATAATCATAACACAAAAACTAATATAATTTTTTTTACTTTTTCAAAAACAGGCTCCAAATACTATCATTAATACTAAAGATAAAATGAAAGAATATGTAGCTGAAAGACAAAAAACTCAACAAAAATTACAAATCTAAAGTATACCAACAAACATGATTTTTTTTTAATTATCTTGAGATCAAAAAAAAAAAAATATATATAAACACCAATCAATCAACCAATCAATCACCAACCACTTTTTTTTTTAAAAAAAAAAAAATCCAAAAAAAAAAATTTTAAAAAAAAAAAAAACAATAATAATATAGAAATTTTAACAAAATATATAATTTGTATTAGCAAATCTAATTAATAATAAATAATAAAATCCAAAATGGGGTTTTTATTTTTCCCAAAAAAAAAAAAAAAAAAAAAAAAACAATTGTTTTTAGAATTTTTAAATTTATTAAATTGCTTTGGATCAAATAAACAGAATTTAATCGGAATAATAGGAAGAAATAATAATAAATAATGTAATAACCAAATATCTTGCCCGAAAAATTTTTATCTTTTTTTTTTTTTCTTTTTTTTTTTTTTATTTTATTTTAATTATTGAATTAAAATAAAAAAAAAAAAGTTTTAAAAAAATCTTTTTTTTTTTTTATTTTTTTTTATTTATTTTTTAAATTATTTTGTTTTATTTTTTTCTTTTTTTTTTTTTATACTTGATTTACATCTATGAGTGATTTGTGTAGCTGTTTAATTATTTTTTTTATAAAAATTTAAATAAAAAATCAAACAAAAAAAAAAAACAAAAAAAAAATATACACATACACACAAAATATAAAAATAACGAAATAACGTATAGTTTATATATACATAAATAATAACCACCAAAATACACACACACACACACACACAAGCAAACAAGCAAACTTTAAACACATATACACACATAGTATCAATTATATAAATAGCCATAAAGGAGTATGTGTTTTTACACTTATTTTACCAATAAAAACCACACATTATAATAGTTTTTATTTTAAAACATGTATATTAATTATTTTTTTTATTTATTTTAGTATATAGGGATAGATTGCAGATAAAACTCTCATTTAGTAAATAAATAATTAAATAGTAACACAATTGGGGTTTAGTATAATGAAAAAGGTAATTATATCATTAATTAAACTATATTTTTTTACATTTTTTATTTTATATTTCCAGTGTGTACAATAATAGATTAATTTAGCATTAATTAAGATAAATTAAATCACTAGGAGGCATATAGTTTATTTTATATAATAATTATTATAATTTTTTTATCTTTTTTTTATTTTTTTTTTTTATTTTATTTTGTATTTATTTTTTTATACTTTTTATTTTTATTTCTTTATATCATTCATTTATATATTTATAAAATTCTATAGTAATTTCTTAACTAATAAATATTAATAAATTTTTTTTTTATTATTTTATTATTAATAAAAATGATAATCTATCCAAATATAATAATCAATTCAGGTGTAAAAAATACTAGAGATAGTAAAGTAACACTAAAAAATAATCAAGTAATAATGAGGAACTATACAAATAATAATAATAAAAATAAGAAAACCAATGAAAATAATAGCAACGAAGAAAATAATAACCAGATTCAAACAATTTTAAAGAAATATAATAATAATAATAATAATAATAATAATAAAAATAATAATATTAATAGTAATAGCGGTAATAGTAATAAATCTATACATGAATCAACACCAAATGATATACCAGCAAATATACCAAGTGTAAAGAATTTAGGTAAACAATATGATTCAAAGGCAGCAGGTCATTTAAATAATCAAAAAATTTTAACTGCAGGTTCAATTTCATCTTCAAATTTACCAAACCAAAATAATAATGGTTCACCTTTAAGTTTATCATCAAGTTCAATTCAAGATATACCAGAGACTGTGAATGGGTTAACATCGTCAATTGTTGCAAAGTTTTCAAAAGGTGAAAATTTTAATAATTCATCAATCGCACATAATAATAGTAATACATTAAACCAATCAACCTCATCAAATTCTACACCGGTACAATCACCAAGAAATTCAACTGAAGTAAATGAAAATAATGATAATGAAATAAATAATAATAATAATGATAATAATAATATTGATAATAATAATAATAATAATGAAAAGGAACTTGAAAAGGTTACATCAAATAAAAAATCATCGTTTATTTCTTTTTCTTCAGACTCAACTTTTACCAATATCGACAGTGACACTAAGCAAAATGAAAATTTAGAAAAGTCAAGCGAGATAATAGAATCAACAACCCAACCAAATAAAGAGAGTGACGATAATAATAATGTAACAGCAAATGGTTTTCCAACTCAAACATCATTTATTACAGATAAAAGCAAAAGATTATCAACACCACCATCTTCAATTACAGCATTCACAACAAGCAGAAATTTCCAATCACATAGAGTTGCCGGTGACTGGAAAGATAGAAAATTCTTTACACAAGGTTCTACAAATAATTTAAATACATCAGCAAGAAAAAATTTAATTGGTGCTAGGGAAGCAATTAATAGTAGCAACAGTAGTGTTACCACAAATAATAGTAATATGACAAAGAGTAATAATTCAATATGCACAGATGAAGTTGGATCAACATTAAATAATGAAGAGTTTGGTAATGCTAATAACGATGGCGGTGCTAGTTCAAGTGCATGTAATAGTAATAGAAGTTCCATAAATTTATCACCCAATATAAACTTTATTAATGAATCATCACCAATTTCAATGACACCAAGATCAACCACACCATCAAACCAAGCATTACTTTCATCCTCACCATTCTCATTATCAGCATCACCAACTAATAGTACTACAAATTTACCAACATTACCAACAGATTTTAATATTACAGAAAATAATAGATCATCAAATAAACCTTTGGTTGATGGTGTTTTTTCATTAAATGAAGAAGATGATGTAAAGTTTTTAGTTAAAGCTTTTAATAGTAGGAAATTAAACCCACACAATATTGATAGAAAGAGTAAAATATCAAAACAAGATGCAGAATGGATTACAAAAAAATTTTATGATAGTGATCGTACCTCCAAATTTATTTTAAGTGAAAGCAGAAATACAATTAAACCAACAACCGCAGCTATTAATAAAGATTCAGCTTTGGTAACCAATAAAAACGTTAAAGAAGGTGAAGAAAATAAAATATCAGAAAAAGTAAAAATAAATGAAAATAAAGTTTTAGAAAATAATAACATTAAGGATTCATTAAAGTCATCACAAGTCTTGGTAAACAATAATAATAGTAATAATAGTAATAATAATATTTTAACTGGAAGTCAAGAGTTTTTACAAAATGAAGACCCACACAGCGCACCATCATACAGATTCTTAGAAGAGGTTGGAAAAAAGAAATGTATTTCAGCAGAGCCATCAAGAAGACCTGGTATTAAGACACCATTGTTTTTAAATGTACCCACTTTAGCTAATCCAACTCAGTTTCATCAAATTCCACCAGAAAGATTATCATCAAATCTTTTTTCAATATCTGTCGAAGAAAATTCACATCAGGATAATCCATTACTTTATAATCAACAAATTATTAATAGAGTTGCAAACGATAAGGATTTGTCTTATCTTTTCTTCCCAGTTTTAAAAACTTCAACAAATATCTCATCATTAAATTCAATATCACACTCACAACCATTAATTAGTAATAACCATAATAAAAATCCAACCAAAAAGAATAAAATTAATAAAAATCCAACAAATAACAATAACATCATTGGTAGTAATAATTCTCCACCATCAAATACAATCAAAATCAGTCCAACTTCTCCTTCAATTTCAAATGCATCGTCACCCAGTGATTTCACATTATCACCATCACCTTCACCATGTACATCTCTTTCCCCATCACCATCTTCACCACCATTAATTGATTCTCCATTTATAAATAAAGAATCTTCAATTCCACAGGTTCCCACAAATAATACTGCTACTACAACAACTACAACCAAGGATAGAAAATCACTTTGGAATTCAATGAAATCAAGCAGTAAACCCCCTCTATCTCCACCAGCAACTCAAGAATCACCACCATCATCATCACCACCAATAAATATACCCAATAATAATAGTAATAATAATAATAATAATGAAAATAATATTGATAATAGTGCTATTACAGAAAATAATATTGTTGTTACAACCATTTCAAAATCAACAAGAGATTTAGAGACCATAGTGGCAGAAGAGTTTAAAAATAGAGAGGATATTTTATTCTGTGCACAACATTTAAAAATGAATAGAATCAAGGTTAGACATGCAACATTAGATTCAATGATAGATTTATTAACCAATCATAGATTATCACAACCAGACTTGGTAGAATCATTTTTACTTACATATAAAACATTTACCACTTCAGTTTTAGTTTTAACAAAATTAATTGAAAGGTATGAGTGTGAAAACCAACCAAATATTACAACACCAATAATAGCATCAACAAATGAAGAGGAAGAGGCATTAGAAGAAAAACCAATTATGAATAGTAATAAAACGATAAAGCTAGGTGTATTAAATATAATTAAATGTTGGGTAGATAGACACCATTACGATTTTGAAAATAATCAAGCACTGTTAGACGCTATTATTGCATTTTTAGAAGGTCCAGTAGTAGATGACGGTATGGAGAAAGTTTCATCAATTATTTTAAAGACTATTGATCGTAAAATTGCAGAGGCAGAGATCAAGCGTTTAGGTATTTCAACATACAATGCAAATGTCAACAGTATTTATTGTAAATTCCCACCATCAATTCTACCATCTTTATCAAAACCAGATCAAGTTCCAACTCTTCAAAACTTTGATGATTTAGAAATTGCAAGACAATTAACATTAATCGAACACGAAGCTTATTCATTTATTAAACCTAGCGAATGTATTAATTTGGCATTTAGCAAAGCTGACAAAGAAACTAAAGCTCCTAATATTATTGCTATAATTAAAAGATCAAACTTATTACCACTCTGGGTTGCTACAGAAATCGTACAAGAAGAACGTTTGGCCAAGCGTGCTAATTTAATTAAGAAATTCATCTCAATAGCGGATCAATGTAAAAATTTAAATAATTTTAATGCTGTTATGGAAATTCTTTCAGGTCTCAATTTGACTCCTGTTTTCCGTTTAAAGAAAACTTGGGAGACTATACCTAGAAAATATTTAGCAACTTTTAGACACTTAAATTCATTAATGGCACCAAAATTCAATTTCAAGGTTTATCGTGATGTTTTACACACTAAAAATTTACCATGCTTACCATTTTTAGGTGTTTATTTAACAGATTTAACATTTTTAGAAGAAGGCTCTTTCGATCAATCTGAAAGTGGTTTAATAAATATGGTTAAAAGATCTCAAATTTCAAATATAGTTCAAGAAATTCAACAATATCAACAATTATCTTATTGCTTTACACCTGTGCCTGTAATCAGAGACTTCCTTTTAAATATTGGTGGCTTACAAGAGAGAGCACTTTACAAACAATCAAAAATAATCGAACCATAGTTAACTTAAAAAAAGATAAAAAAAAAAAAGAAAATTAAATAACAATTATAAAAAGTTTTTTTTTTTTTAAATACATGTAAAAAAATAACAATAAATAAATCAATTTAAGTAATTAGATTTAAATTTAAATTTGGTCAGTGTTTTATTTTAATATAAATATAAATATAAATATAAATATAAAAAAAAGAAATTTACATATGGGTTTTTTTAGGGCAATAGAAAAAAAGGGTTTTCTTTTTTTATTTTTATTTTTTTTTAATAAATAAATAAATAAATAAATAAATAAATAAATAAATAAATAAATAAATAAATAAATAAATTAATATGTATATTTAAGATTTTGATAATATTTTCTAACTATTAAATGAAATTTCATTTGTTGAATAATTTGATTCATAACTATCTCTTTTATAAATTTTTTCTTTTTGATATTATTTTCGAATGTATTGTAAATTATTTCTTGTTCATTTGATATTGAAAAAATAAATACTCTTGGTTGTATTTCACCTCTTTGACGCTCTATTTGGCACTGGATATGTTGGGTTAGGAATTTTTTCTTTATTTCATTATCTTTTATTGAACAATAGGTATTTTTTTCTTTAAAGTTCATACCAATTTCGGACTTTATAAAGGGGAAAGGGGTTGTAACTTCTTTTCCTATAATTATACCACTATTAATTCTTTCTTCGTTTCTTTTTAATAGGATTTCTTCGAGTATACTGATATTATTATTGATTACATTTTCTAAATGATATTTTGAGTAGTATTTATAGTTGCTTTTTAAATTTTTTTCTATAAGTGGGGAGTAAAATATATTTTCATCTATATCGTTAATATAGATATCCATTTTTATTTGACAGATAAACAATAATTAAATAAATAAATAAAAATATAAAAAAAGAAATAAATTATTATTAAGTAATAAAAAATTAAATAGATATGTAAAAAAAAAAAACCAAATAAATCTTAATTTTTTTTTATAAATTAATATTTAAATAAAAAATAAAATTTATTTAAATTTTTTTTTCTTTATTTGAAATAGAGTTTAAAAAAAAATATTTTATTTGAGTTTTAAATAATAGAAATAATGGATTTCATACCTAACCCAAGTTGGAGTTTACCTTAAGTGGGTGTTTTATATGATAACCTTTAGGTTGTGGGTAAAAAGGATTATTGATTGATATAACAATATAAGTGTTTAAATTTATAAAATTTTTTTTTTCTATAGGCTTTCCTATCTTTGTATATATTTGCTGGCCTAAAAATAAAAAATAAAATAAAAGAATTAAATTAGAAAATTGAGAATAAAAGGAAACAAAGAATAATTAAGAATGGAAATTTGTGGGGGGTAGTTAAAAAATTGGGGTTTATAATATTATTTGTAATTGTAAGTACTTGTGTGGGTTAAGTGGTTAGGAATTGTGTGTGTCGAAGTGTTATTTTTTTAAAAAAAATAAAAAAAACTTTATTTTAATATGGATTTAAATAACAACATTTAAATGTAATAAATTAATTATTATAATTAAAAACTTTTTTTTATAATAATTCCTAATTAATTAAGTTTTATTCTTTCATAATAAAGTTGTTTTATTAATTTGATATAAAGAGAAAGTAAAAAAATATTTTAAAAAAAAAATTTTTATTTAAAATAATTCATAATATGATATGATATAATATGCATAAAATATTATATAATAAAACATAAATATTAAAAAGAAATAGTTCACTTTAATAGTGTATAAAAAAAATGTTCAATTAATATTATTCCCATATTTTCCGAGGGAATTTTTTAATTCTAAAAATATTTTTTCGATATCTTTTAGTGAATCTAAATCTTTTTTTGAAAAATTGATGTGTTGTAATAAAAAGTGTGTTAATTCTTCATTACAATTCTCTATTGATATTTTTACAATTTTTTTTAAATCTTCCGAATTAAAATAGGGATCTGTGGGGTTATTTTTAGCTCCAATTTTTAATAGTAATGGTTTTTTAATGAAAATGGCTTTGAATACTGATATGATACCTTTTTTTGCAGATTGTGTTATGATTCTTGATAAAAAACGTTTGTTTTCTGTATATTTTGAAAATAAAAAACGATCTTGTAACCTTAATGGATAACGAGTGACGTTGTCATCATCAATAAAAAAATCTGTATACAACACTGGTTTAAATATTCTAAAAAAAATATCGAAACGTCCACATTTCCATAAAAGAAATTGCCAATTTTTTGCCAATACTTTAATTTGATATTTTTTATTGTAAGTTGGATTGATTCCTGATTTAATTATTAGTGTTGAATTGCTTATGGCTGCTTTGAAGATATCTTGATCTGATAAATCTTTGAGCATCCAGTCAAAGATTTTAAAAGTTTTTCGAGGTGAATATTTCATATCAGTTATTTGAAAATAAAGTTTAATTTCAGTTTCATGTGAATATGATATAAGTTTCTCTAATATTGATATGGTTATCTCCTGTTCACCCGATTGTAATCCTAAATAAAAATAAAAGCTAAAAATAGTTAACCCTATTAATCCTTCGGTGATATAAAGTGATGGGTTGTTCAGTGCTCTTTCCACTTTTTTTAATTCGAGACCTTTGGTTGATTCTAAGTAAAGTTTAAAAATAAACTTTTTTGATGCACTTTTCATTAGAGATTCATAGTTCTCTATTAGTTGTTCGTTTACATTTATCCACAAGGAGTTGTTGTCACTATTGATTAATTCTACTTTTTCATAAAAGTAATTAAAAACTTCTTCTTTTTTAATATAAGGTAATGTATCTTTGATATATGGTTCTTTAAAGCATTCAAAGTTATTATATTTGCTAAATAAATAATCGATAAGAACCATATCACCCGTGGAAATTACAACTCTTTGGTAATCTGCCAGGGATTCTGATATTGTTGCTGTTTTGGCGTATTCAGAGTCAATAGTTTGTTTTTGAAAATCTTTGCATGAATCACTATTTGAATAAAACAAAACAACATCATTAAAATGGTCGGCTATGAAATAATCGTTAAAGTTATTTGATTTATTGTTTATTCTATTATTGTTGATGAAGTTTGCTTTTGATAGTTCTTTAAAATATATATAGTATTGTATTGGCTTATAAAATAGATTTTTTGGGTCATTTAGTTTATTTATTGAATATAGGAGTTTGAATATTTTGTGTGTTGTTTTTTTTATTTCTTGACTATTTAGTAGTGATATTTCAATGATAGATAGACGTAATTGTTGTTTACTAAACTGATTTAAATCTATTAGACCATTTAGGTGTTGTATTATTAGGCTCTGTTTTTCGGTTGGTGTATGTTGTTGAATTACTGTGTTGTATAGTTTTATTAATCTTCTGAAACTATATGAATAGTCTAATGTTTGTATGACTTGATATTGTGATACTAATTCTGCTTTGATTCCGATTGAGTTTAAATAAGCCTGCATTCTATATATCTTGTCTAAACTAGGGGTATCTGTTTGAAAGTTTTTTAATATTGATGTAATTGGTCTCTGGTTTAGTTTGAATAGTGTAGTGTATGCTTGGTATGCAGGAATATTACCACAATCAACTATATATCGTAACCAGTATTCAGTGTTATCAAAATTGTGTGGGATGATACTATCTTGGCAGTAATATGGATATGTTGAAAATAGTTGTGTAAAAAATTCTGCATTCTCTTTAGTATTTTTGGTGTTTTTTTTGATAACAAACTCTACTTCCTTAAAGTTTCTAATAAAATAGCTTTTACTTTTTATTTTATCTTTGTAGATTGCCTTTGCATTACTAAAGTTATTGAATATATATTGGGTGCCTATTATACGATCATAGTTAAACAGTTGACTGAATTTGAAATTTGAAAATATTAATTTGAACATTATTTTATTTCTAAATATTTTCCAGAATGCAATTTCAACATTGTTGATAGTGTTTTTTTCATTTCCTTCCGTGATTTCTAATCGTGGTTGTTTCTTATTGAATGGATTTATATTACTCTTGAATTGATTCTCTTCCAATAGATCTTGTTTAGCCTTTAAATAACTTTCAATTCTATTATAGATTACTTCTTTAGTTCCTCCAGCACCTAAATCCAATCGTTTCGATAGTGCTTGTAGTTTTCTATAATCTGATCTATTCAAACTTTTAAATTCATTTTTAAATATTTCATATGTTATTTCATTATTATTGTTACTGTTGTCGTTATCATTATTATTATTATTATTATTATCTAATTGTTTTCTTTTCTTTTTATTATCCATACTTTATATTTATTATTTATAATCGAGAAACATATGTTAACATTTTATAAAAAAAAAAAAAAATTAAAAAATAGTTACAAAAAAAATCAAAAAAAAAAAATCAAAAATTAATTAATTTTTTTGTCATTTTTTTATCAAAATTTTTTATTTATTTATTATTCAATAAAATGTATAAGATAATATTTTTTGTTCCCAAAGCAAGCTGTGATATCGTCAAAACTTCAATGTTTAAAGTAGGGGCTGGTAGAATGGGAGGTTACGATAGTTGCTGTTTTGTTTCATCAGGAATGGGACAATTTAGGTAATTTCATTTCATTTAATTCAATCATAGAAATCGTATATTATAATACTAATAATTATTTTTTAGACCACTCCAAGGTAGCAACCCAACAATAGGAAACATTGGAAATATAGAATATGTCGAAGAATATAAAGTCGAAATGGTTTGTGATGATAATATAATAAATGATGCAATCAAAGCTTTAAAGGAATCACATCCATATGAAGTCCCAGCATATGAGGTATACAAACTTTTAGATCTTTAAAATCAAATAAATAAATAAATAAATAAATAAAACATAATCAATTAAATAATTTATTTTAAAAAAAAGATTATTATTTTATTGTGTTTTATTACATATAGTAATTAGTAGGAGCAACAACAACAATAGCATTATCAGCTTTTTAGGACATTGTACAAGACGAACAGCACTTTCCAACCAGGCTATTGCTTTTAGAATAAACACCTCCTTTGGCTTTACAGTCTACTTCAAGAATTTTGGGGCAATGTTCATGCACTATAAAACAATGGTTTAGCAGTGCATTATTCGAATTTATTTGGTGGAACTCTTGCTCTATATTACATATCACTTTATAAAAATTATTAAATAGGGAAATTACAAATAATAAAATTACAAATAATTTATAAAACATAATAAATAAAATATAATTTAAAAAAAAATCTTTGTACTTTTTTTTTTTTCTTTAAAAAGATTTATTTTATTTTTCTATAAACAAATAATAAAAAATTAATAAAGTTGTTTTAGATTAAATAATTTCTTTATAATAAAAAATAATAAAAAATAAATAAAATGAAATAATTTAATAATTTTATAATAACAACTCACTTGGTATTTTATTTAAAATTGGTAGATAATAAACAAAATTAAAACAGTCTTAAATGTAATTTAAATAAATATATAAATGGTATTTTCATCATTTTTATTACCAAATATTTCCACAACATTAAAAAATAAAAACCATCATCTATTTATTGTCTTTTTAAAAAAAAATTACACATTATACAAATACAGCTAAAATAATAGATCTGAATTTTAAAAAAAAAAAACAAAACACATGTCCACACACAACTTTAAAATTTTTTTTGGATTATTTTAAAAATAATTTTAATATTAAATTATAATATTAAAAATCAATTAGTTTATTTAATTATAATTTTGAAATGATTCTATTATTTAATATATAATATTTTTTAAAACTATTGTAAATGTAGTATTTGAAATACTCTTTATCATTATTGAATATTACTCTAATTAAATGATTCCAATTAAAATACATTCTTGTGAATGTAAATGCAATTGGGGTTAAAAATATTGATTTTTCCTTTGCTTCATTCCTATCATTTATTGCTAATGATGAATTATTTAAAAACTTTAATTTGTTTTTTGAAAAGATTTTGGCCCCAATATAACTATATTTTTCTAAAAATGACTCTACATCATTGTAATCGATTGTAGAATAAATAAAACCCAAGCTATTTTCATTTGAAAACCAACAGAGAAATAAAATTAAAAATTCAAATATAATATTACCCATTTCTTTATTATTTTCAACTTTATTTCTAATTCTAGGATCGATGATTATTTTGTTTAGTTCCAAAACATCACCTTTTAATGAGGTTACTGGATAGTTAATAGCTCCTTTTGAAATATAGGTACAATAATTATCAATACCAATTATAATAGATCCATATAAAATGATTTCGTTATCTACTCTAATAGTGATATGTAATGATTTATCAGTAAACATATCATTTGCAAAAAATGAATCATTTTTTGGGGCTACCTGAAATTCTTCTTTTTTATATTCCGTTGATAATGATTTTACTATAAAATAGTCAATTTCTTTGGAATATGATTTTTCAAAAGAAATCTTTATATTAAAATCATTTTTATTTAATATTTTATAATAACTATTTTGTATATTAAAATTTAATTTATAATTATTTAAATTTATACTATCCATTAATATAAAACTGTTTATAATGATTTAGAAAATGTAATAAAATGAAATTAGAAAAAAAAAAAATTATAAAAAAGATAAAATAATATCTATTTATTTAAAAATAAAAAGTTTTTTGTTATAAAATTTTAAATTAAAAAATCGATATTTTATTTGATGAAATTAAAAAAAAAAAAAGGAAAATATACAACACTTTATTTTAGAAAATAATATTTCAAAAATTATTAATTAAATTATTGGTAATTTGTTGTGGGTTGGTGGGGTATGTATCTATTATTTATGGGTATGTGAAAATATCTAAAAATAAAATATAATGGTGTGAAGCGTATGAGTGGTAATTTATTAATATATTAAATATATGAATAAAAAAATACGATAACTTGCTATTTGATTTGAAAATTAAATGGATAATTTGTTGTAAAAAAATACATATAGTTGATTATTTTGTATATTGCCCTTATTTAATTAATTATATACTGAGCGTATAAAAACTATTAACTATTTGAAAAAAAATATTATTATTTATATATGTTATGAAATTTTTGAAATTATTATTACAAAAAAAATAAAAAAAAAACTGACTAAATATTTAAGTTTAAATTCAATTCGAATTATTGCCACTGGTATTAATACTGCTTGTGCTTGTAGTACCACTTTGACTAACATTACTATTATTGTTATTATTACTATTATTGTTGTTGGTGTTGTTATTGCTATTATTATTATTGGAAACACCACCTAAATTACTTAGTCGTGAACGAAACCTTGGTTGTTGAGTTGGGGTTGGTTGATTTGAGTCAGAGTTACTTGTAGAAACATTGTTAGTTTGGGTATTGGATTGGCTATCATTATTGCTGCTATTGGATCTTAATCTTAAAGGAACTTGCAAAGATGGTTGATATGGTTGATATCTTTGAGATGAATTTGTCAAACTTCCTGTTATTGTATCCATTGTATCCTGTAAAATACTTGAATAGGGTAGAGACAAACGTAATCTTGAACTTGGGTTTCTAATTCCTTCATTATCTGAGTCCTGTGATAAATCTTCTGAATCTTGTGATTCTCCTGCTAATCTCGAGTATCTAGAGTATCTATAACGATCAAAAACGTTAACATGATTATCCTCATTTGGTTGATCTGTTCTTTCTTGGTCAGATAAAACTTGATATCTTTGGAATCTATATCTTGGGTAATGTGGTGCATTTGGTTGGTTTGTTTGTTGCTGTTGCTGTTGATGTTGGAAATGTCTATGAAGAATTTGCATTTGATGTTGCTGATGCATCATTTGTTGAAGATGATGTATAGATGGTTGGGATGGTTGTTGCTGTTGTGTTGCTTGTGATTGAGGTGATGGTGACATTATATGGTGGGGTATATTTGAAGATATTGTAACTGGTGTGGATCCTGGTGGTGTTGTAGTGGTAATAGAGGAGGCAGTTGTTGGAGGTGATGAAGGTGGTGAAGGTAATGATAAAGTTGATGAAGTTATTGATACTGCCATTGATGGCACTAAATATGGTTGTACTACTGTTGCTGGCAATGGTGTGGAAGTGGTTGTAACTGACGATGGTGCAGATGAGGTTGGTGGTGCAGATGAGGTTGGTGGTGCAGATGAGGTTGGTGGAGCAGGTAGCGGTGATTGTGGCTGAAAATAAGAGGAATAAACAGATAGTGGAGAGACAGGATCGCCACGATCCAATTGATCTTGATCCTCACCACCACGAGCGAGGTAAAATCCATGAACCGATGGATCAAATGAATGTATTCTTCTGGCACTCGAAAAGAATAATGGCTGTCTAGATCTTGTTGGTAAAAAAGGTGAATATTGAGTTGCTGAGAAACTAGTTGGAGAAGTTGGTCTTAATGGTGTTGCTGGTTCATCGACATTATCATCAGATGATGTTGTTGATGTTGTAGTAGTGGTTGTTGAGTTATTATTGTTGCTGTTATTGCTACTACTATTCTCTTGAAAAGAATAAAAACGAGATACAGTATCCTGTTGCTCCTGTCTAAGTTGACTTTGTATATGTAATCGATTACTTCTTCTACGTCTTGAAAACTCCATAAGAATCGTATCGAATTTATCTATTAAATATTTATTGTGTGGATTAAAATCCTCGACAAAATCCTCGAATGTAACTGGTTGTTCACCAGTATCAGCTCTATAAACATTTACATTCTAAAATAATATAAAAAAAAAAAAAAAAAAAAATTAGTATTATAAAAACTATTTATTCTATTTTATAGTTATAGTTAGTTACCTCCAAAATCGCTCTTATTTTTTTAACTAACTCTGATTCATAATTTGGGTGTGCCCATTTACCCATTTAATAATTTATATTTATGTGTATATATATATAAAAAACAAACCAAAATTAAATTAATTAATTTTTTTTTATTTTGTTTTTCTTAAAAAAAAAAAAAAGAAACAATTTATATATATATATATATATAAAAATAGGAAATAGTTTTTTTTTAATTAAATTTAAGAGGCAAAGTTTATATATATACAAACTTTGTGCAAATTTAAATTTTAAAAAAATAATAAAAAAAAAAATAAAATAAAAATAATAAAATTTTTTTTTTTCTTGTTTTTTTTTTATTTTTTTTATTTTTTTTTTGAATTTAAAGAACTTATTTTTTATTTTTTTAATAAATAAATATAAATAAATATAATAAAATATAAATAGATAAAAAATAAAACAGTGTATTATACCTATAAATTATATAATTAAATTTGAAAAAAAAAAAAATAAAAAAAAAAATAAAAAAATAAAAAAATAAAAAAAATAACTCCATATTATTTAATTTAAATAAATAAGCGGTTTAATGCACGAATTTTTTTTTTTTTTCTATATCCTAATTTAATTTTTATTTTTTTTATTTTTTATTTATTTATAACAAATAACCCACACCCCCCCCAAACACAAAAAAAATAGTATGAAAAATTTATTTAATAATATTAATAATATTCATAATCATCATAATCAAATTAAATATAACTCGCTCATAAATAATATTTTATTAAATAAATCTAATAGTAACAACAATACAAAAATAAATAAAAATACTTTATACAATACATTTAAAATATCGCAATCAATAATGGGTAATAAAGATTTAAAAAGAAAACACGAAGAAGATGAATATAGCGATGAAGATACAATAGACGAAAATGATCATTGTTGCAGCCATGATGAAGGTGATAATGACAATAGTAATCACAATAATAGTAATAATAACCAAATTTCACCAATCCTAAAATCAACCAAAACAACTACAACAATTTCTACAACAATTTCTACAAATCTAAAATCAACCAAAAAAGAGCCACCAAAAAAGCAGACTATGATAACCCAATTTTTTTCAAAAGTCGAACCCTCAGTACCACAAATTAATATGACAACCAATAAAAAGAACAATAGTGATAATAGTAGTATAACTACAGAATCACCATTTTTTAAAAAGATTGAAAGTGATGAAAATGTTAAATTAAAACAAGTAGGCAACTCACCATTTTTCAAAAAAGTTTCAAAGGATGAAGAAAATGATATCTCAACAAAAACAAAAAAAAAGAAAAAAGTTAATGAACAGGAGGAAGATGATGAAGAAAGTGATGAAGATGAATACATTGATGAAATTAAACCAGTTAAAAAACAGAGTGCAAACAAAAAGAAAAAAGTTAACTTGACTGAAAATAAATTTTCAACTTTAAATCTGTCAGATGAAAATTATAAACAAGATAAAGAATTTATGTCCAGTAAAAAAGAAAAGTTGGATAATATTAAAATTGGTGCACATGTTTCAATTAAAGACGGTTACCCAAGACTTATAGAGAATGCAGTAAAATGTGGCTTTAAGGCATTGGCTTTTTTTACCAATCCCCCAAGAACTTGGAGACCAATAACAGTCAAAGATGATGATGCTCAAAAGTTTAAAGACTCTTGCAAGAAATTTGATTTCTCACCAAACTATATTATGCCACATGGAAGTTATTTCTTAAATTTAGGCTCACCAGAAATAGACAAGTTAGAAAAGAGTAGAAAGCTTTTCATCCACGAAATGAACAATTGCGAAAAACTTGGCATTTCACTATACAATTTTCATCCAGGTTCACATTTAAATATTATTACAGAAGAGGAATCAATTAAAATTATTGCCGAATCTATAAACATAGCACATCGTCAAACTAAAAATGTTATTGCCGTCATTGAATGTACAGCTGGTCAAGGTAGCAATTTAGGTTATAAATTCGAGCATCTTCGTGACATTATCGAAATGGTAGAAGATAAATCTAGAGTGGGCGTTTGTTTGGATACTTGCCATATGTTTGCTGCTGGTTATAATTTGAAGACTCAAAGTAATTGTAAAGTAATATTTCAAGAATTTGATCGTATTGTAGGTTTCAAGTATCTCAAGGGTATTCATTTAAATGACAGTAAATCAGATTGTGGAACCAAATTAGATCGACATGAAAATATTGACAAGGGTTTTATTGGTGCAAATTGTTTCAAATTTTTAGTTAACGATAAACGTTTCCAAAATCTACCAATGATTTTAGAAACTGAAGGTAACCATATAAATGAAGTTAAACAATTATATGACTACATTATTGAAAATGATGATAAAGAAGAAAAAAAAGAAAAAGAAGAAGAAAAATAAAAATAAAAAATCAAATTCTTTATTATATTTTAAAAGGATATTATAAAGGGAATAAATATATTGTGATAGATATATTAAAAAAAAATATCAAATCAAAATATTTCTTTTTTTTTTTCATATGATTTTCAAAAGTTTTTTTTTTTTTTGGTATCAAAGGGCATATTGCCAAATCTTTAGTAAAAATCTTTTATTAAATTTCATCAAAATACATCATTAAAAAAAAAAAATAATAAAAAAAAAAAAGATTTCGAAAACGAATTCGTTAATAATTTTTCTTTTTTTTTTTTTTTATTTTTTGTTTTTTTCTAAATTTTTTTCACCAGTTTTTTAAATTTTTTTAAATTTATTTATTTTATATTAAATTAAAAAAATATTTATATTTATATTTCTCCTTCCTCCTATTGTCCTATTCCTATTGTTTATTTATTTATTTATTATTCATAGATTAAATAACAAAAATAAATTTTATTTAATATAAATAAAAAATTTTAAAAATTGAAATCCAATTTTTTTTTTTTTTTTTAGAAAATTAAATATCATACATCATTAATTTAATAATTTGTAATATTATCTTTTTTTTCTCGTCCAAAAAGAAAGTTTTTCTTATAATTTAATAAATTAAATAGTTAATAAAATAATTAAAAAAAAAAAAAAGTTTATATGTTTTGTAAAATCATAAATTAATTAATAAATAATAAATTTAATATATATATACAATATTTTATGTATTGATTTGACATACCCCTAGGACAGAGAAATCATATACAATAAAATAGAAATAAAATAGTAAGTAAATATTTTTTGTAAAAACATTCAAACCACACCCACACAGTTTTAAATTTAGGTTATTTAGATTAAAACCCATCAATAATACATCACCAGGGAAATATAATAATAATTTATTATTATTATATCTATTTTGTTTTTATTTAAAAATTTTATTATACTTTTATAATACATATATATTAATTTTTTTATTTTTTTTATAAAATTTTTATATTTTTTATATTTTTTTATAAATATAGAAATGACGAGTTTATTTAAAAAACCATCAAAGGATAATTTATTAGATGAAGTTAATATAGAGTTTAGTGATTATGAATCATCATCATCATCATCAGTTTCAACCAATTCCTCACCAAATTTAATATCGCATAATAGTAGTGGAAATCAAAACAAAAATGGCAATTTCAAACCAGAAAGTTTAAACTCATTAACAGATTTATTTATATATATATTTGGTGTAGATTTAAGAAGTTTAGCAGCAATGAGAATTGGGTTATCAATTTTAATAATATTGGATTTATATGTTAGATCCTTATATTTATATGACCATTATACCGATGCAGGCACATTACCAGTCAGTTCAGTTATAGATATAAACCCATTCTATTGGTCTCTTTATTTCATCACAGCCAACTATTATATTACTGTAGCATTATTTATTATGAATGCATGCTTTGCATTCTGTTTTTTAATTGGGTATAGAACTACCTTGGCCAATGTATTGTGCTGGATATTCATGACATCACTTCATGTCAGAAATCCATATGTTTTAAATGGTGGAGACGATTTCTTTAGACTTTTTGTATTCTGGGCAATGTTTTTACCATGCGGTGCTAAATTTTCTATCGACAGTCTTTTAAATTTAGAGTATACCAACAAGAAGAACAACACTTTAAACCCCAAATCAGTAACCTATAACCCAATTTCAAGTAGCAATCAATATATTCCAACAACAGATTCAGAGGGCAAATATTTATTATCATTCGCAAGTGTTGCTATTCAAGTCCAATTTGCATTGGTTTATATTATTACTGCTGCTTTAAAGACCGGCAAAGAATGGAATGTCGAGTACAGTTCAGTTTGGTATGCTCTTCATTTAGATCAATTTGCAACTCCACTTGGTATTTGGCTTCGTCAATTTGTTAGCTTGGGTCAATTTTTAACATGGTTTACCATTGTATTTGAATGGATCGGTCCATTGTTCTTCTGTATTCCATTTAGAAAATTACACGGCCCAATTCGTACTATTGGTGTAATTGGATTTTGGTGTATGCATTTCGGTTTTGGTTCGTGCATGGAATTAGGTTTCTTTATGTATATTCCAGGAATGTGTTCACTTGTTTTCTTACCATCTTGGTTCTGGGATAAAATTTTCGATTATCTTTACAGCAATAGCAAATCTCAATATAGAACTACATCATTGATTTATATTAATTCAAATAACGAATCACTTTACAAAACTATTTCAATTTATAAACAATTCTTTTTATTACACTCAACTCCAATTTTAATGGTACAACGCCACGATGAAGAAAATTTATTAAATGGCGGTGGTATAAATACTGCTAATGGCACCACTGGTGGTGTAAATTCAATATATAATGAATTTAAAGAAAGAAACTGTTGGATTGCAGTCGAAAATTCAATAACCAACGAAAGAGTGTATAGTTATGATGCTTTTATAACTTTAATTAATTTATCACCAATCCTTCAATACCTTAATTTAATCTTTAACACCAATTTATTCAGAAGATTCTATTCATTTTTAAATTCAAACAAATTATTTAATAACCAAAAATTAAATCCAATATTAAAAGTTTCTAATAAGATATACCCAAAACAAACAATAACATGCTCGAGAAAGTAAGTAATAGTATATTTAGTTATTAATAATAATAGTAATAGTGCTTACTAACTGATAATTTAATATTAAAATTAATATAGGTATTGGTTAGAAACATTTTGTTTTTTAATGTTAATTTATGTAATAAATTGGAATTTAGCAGGTTTATATGGTTATAGAGTACCAGAACCAATTAGATGGGTTGCACAATCTTTAAAAGTTGAACAACATTGGTCAATGTTTAGTCCATATCCATCAAAAGATAATGGTTGGATGGTTTATCCAGGTGAATTATCAGATGGAACTTTTATCGATATTTTTACAGGTCAAAATATTACATACGAAAAGCCTGCTTTAATTTCTTCAACTTTCCCAACCCAACGTTGGAGAAAATATTTAATGAATCTTCAAGGTTCCGGTTTTAAAGAGAAGAGATTGTTATATGGAAGATATTTATGTCGTGAATGGAATTGGTTTGGAAGACACCCTGAAAATCAATTAAAATCATTTAAACTTATTTTCATGTGGCAATTAACCCCAACATTCCCAACCGAGAAAAACCCTAATCCAACTGCCTTACCTCCAGAACCAATTGAATTATGGTCCCATTATTGTTAAAATATAAAATAAAAATAACTAAAAATTTAAAAATATACATAATAAAAAATAAAAAAACCCTTTGTTACATTATGTTTTATTAATTATATTAACAATTATTAATTTTTATAATAGCTCTATACTATATTCATATTTTCCTATGGTCCAATAAACTTTATTAACTTGGATGGTATCGCTATTGGTGATATCGTCTTTAATAATTTCTTTATTTTTATAGTTTTTTAATCTTTCTTTAGTATCATCACTTTCTTCATCACTTCTTTCCTGGTCCATTATTAACAGATCTGAGGATATCGACAAGTGTGGCTCTGGTTCCTATTTATATTTAAAATTAAAAGTTTAGTTTAGTAAGTTTACAAACTATTATATGAAATTATTGCTTTGTATTTTTATAATAAACCTACATTATAGTATTTAGGGAATTTAAATAATTGTAAGCAATTATCAATTCTTTCTATTAGTTTTAAAACTGGGTTTTTAAATTTTATATCTATAGGTACTGATAAAAAAATTCTTGATTGGTTTTCGTTTATAAAGGAGCAACAGTGATCCGCTAATTTAATATTGAACGGTCTTTGATTTTTTAAAATTTTTCTTAATTCATTTGAAAAAGATTCTATATGATGTTCTCTCATTGGAAATGTTTTAGATAATGAAATGTGATAATCGTTTAAGTCTTCTCTTATCCCAACTTGATTCCCAATTTCTTTAACTTGGTTTATTAAATCTGATATATCATTTCTATATTTAGGTACTATAATAAATGTTTTTAATTAAAAAAAAAATTAGAATTTTCGTTAAATTTAAAAATAAAGAAAATAAAGGTATATTTACTTTTTAAAAATATGAATGATGGGTAATTACCATCTACATGTTCAAATAATCTTATTCTTTTGTTTTCTGTAGCTGTGATAGAGTTGCTGGTGTTTTCTTTGATTATGTTATTATTACTATTTATATTTTGAAATAAGTTTAAAGGAATATCGGGTATATCATCATCGATAGTTGGTTCTATTAAATCTATTGACCTTTTATTATAATTTTTATTATTATTACTTTTATTGTTATTATTATTATTGCTATTGTTATTGTTATTGCTATTATTATTTTTGTTTTTGTTATTATTGGTATTTTCAGTTTTTTTAGAATTATTTGAAATAGTGGGTAAAAGTGGGGGTGATGTTATATTATCATTTTCTTCATCATCATCAATATAATACTTGAGATATTCCATATAAACAAACTATGTAATTTTTTGCTGTATATACGAAATAGTGATGACGACAATAAAATTATAATTTTTTATATTAATATCAATAAATATCAACACTAAAAAAAACAAAAAAAAAAAAAAAAAGTAAATGAAAAAAAAAAATAAAAAAATGTAAAAAAAAAAAAAAAACAATTATTTTTTTTATTTTTTGAAATCAAAAATAATAATTAAAAATATAATAATTAATTTTTAAAAAATACCCCACTCCAGAAAAAAAAAAAATTTTGTTTTTTTTTAATAAATAAATAAATGAAAAAATTCACAATAGCAAGCGTAACTGTAGTAGCATTTATAATCCCAGCAATTTCATTATCAACAAACTTTAATAATAGTAATATTAATAACAAAACCAATACAAATAAAATCAATTACCAAATTGACACTAAAAAAATGACAAGTGATTATCAACATGTTAAAAGAGTATTAATTAGTGGTAGTAGTGGATTTATTGGTCAAAACCTTGTAGATAACCTAAAAAATAATGAAAAGTATGAAGTATTTAGATTAGTAAGAAGACAACCAAACAATGCATTCGAAATTGAATGGAATCCCGAAAAATCATCAATAGATAAGGATGCATTAGAGTCTATACAACCAAATATAGTAGTTCATCTCGCTGGTGAAAATATTCAAGGTTTTTGGGTATTTATTTATATATTTATATATAATTTTATTGATTTTTTATATATATATATATTAACTTTTATTATTATAATACTAAAGACTGAAGATAAAAAGAAAAGAATTTTAGAAAGTAGAACTAAAAGTACTAGAACTCTTGCAGAAGCAGTCACCAGTGTTTCACATCCACCAGAGTTATTTATATCTGCTTCCGGTTGCACATATTATGGTAGTGATATTTATGAACCAGTCGACGAATTTTCAGGTAAAGGAAAAGGATTTTTCTCGGATGTTGTCGAAAAATGGGAGGGTAGTTGCGAGCCTATTTTAAAGTATAATCAAAATATTGTCAATCAATTCATTGATGAATCATCAAACTCAATTTCAAATAGTGCATCAGATTCCAAGCAACCAATAAGAGTTGTAAATCTAAGAACTGGATTGGTATTAGGTAAAGAAGGTGGTTTGTTAGGTGCAATGTACTATCCATTTTTATTTGGATTGGGTGGCGTCATTGGATCTGGTAAACAATATTTACCATGGATCAGTCTCAGAGACACTATTGGCATTATTAATTATACTATGGAAAATCCTCAAGTTAATGGTCCAATTAATGTAACCTCAATTAATCCAGCAACAAATTATGAATTTACTAAAGCAATGGGTCAAGTTTTAAATAGACCAACATTCTTATGGGTACCTGAAACTCCTTTAAGATTATTACTTGGCAAAGATATGTCAGAAGAAACCGTTTTAAGTAGTCAAAGAGTTTTACCAACAAAGTAATTATTATTGTTTTATTATTCACCTATATTCAATTCACTAATATTTATTTTTCTTTACAGATTATTAAATTATGGATTTAGATTCCAAGATACTAATTTGGTTGAAACTCTTGATGATATTTTAAATAAAAGCAAAAAATGAAAAACAAATAAACAAACAAACAAACAAACAAACAAACAAATAAACAAATAAATAATTAAATAAATAAATAACTAAGTAAATAAATAGATAATAAATAAATTGATTATTTAAATTTATTGAGGAGTACCAGTATTTTGGAAAATATTACAACCTAACCATTCGAAAAATAAATATCTCCATGATTCGATTGATGTGTTTGAAGCTTCTATACCAAATGAAGATTTATTATGGTTTTTCGAGTTTTTTTTTCAATTTTTTAAGATGGCAATTTCACAAAAATAATCAATATTCACCACCAGGTGCGGACCTGTACAAATGTTTTTTGGGATTTTCAATTCAATTCGAGTTTGGAGAAATTAAAATTCGGTGCAAAGACTCTCAAATAAAGAAATTATATTTGAGAATATAAACACATAAAAAAAAATGATATGATAAATTTAAAATTTCACAGATGTAATGCTTCGGGATAATGGACATATTAGAATTGTTTTTACTACAATCTCAAGCTTCTTTAATATAAGGGTAATACTGAAGTCATTTAGAGAGTAATTTGGAAAACAGATAGAGCAATTTTAGGAATTTCAGATATCAAATTCGTCAGTTTATTAAGGTAGATGGAACAGATAAAATCTAGAGAATAATATAACTCACCCAAAAAATAATAAATAAAATAAAAAAATAGGAGGATTTTTTTTTAAAAATAATGGTTTATTTAATATGTATTATAAAAAATAAAATTTTATATCTAGCAGCAATTGTTTCTTCTACGACCACTGTCAATGTCGATATCAATATTGATAAAGTTGCCCTTGAAACCAGCACATCCACAAGCTGTTTGATTGTTAGAATATCCCATTGTGAATGGATTGGTACTATTGAAAGAGACCAGGGTTTTCTTGTTAGAGACAACGTTGATTGAGGTAATTGATTCTAAAATAATTAATAAAATAAAATAAATTTTTTTTTTTAGTATGAAATATTTTAAAAATAATAATTAAATATTAAATATTTACTAATAATTGTCATTTTTTTTTCTTGGGTTCTTTAAAAAATTTTATTTATTGAATAAAAAATATTTTTTATAATTTTTTTTATTCAATTTATACCCTAAATTAAATATTTGAAAATATTTCTATTTTAAAAAATAGATGAAACATTTTATTTTAAAAGGGTTTTTTTCTATAAAAGTCTATAAAAATATTTAAATTAAATATAATTATGCTTTGTTTTTTATTTATTTTCATAAAAAAATAATTATTTACTTTTACTTGAAAAAAATTTTATTTAAATAAAAAAGTAAGTTTTAAATGATTAATGTAAACTTAATATAAAAAAATAAATTAAATTTTTTTTATTTTTTTTAATTTTTTAATTTTTTTTTTTAAAAAAAATTTTATAATTTTTTATTGGATCGGACTTGATGTAAAAATTTATATAAAAAATTATATTGTTGTTATAAAACAATTTAATAATAATAATAATTATTGTAAAAAACTAAAATTTAAAAATGTCAAATAATCAACAATATGATACCAAATGCTTAGATCATCCCGACCAAGAAATTATTTCAATATGCTCAACTTGTCCAAACAACACTCCTGTCTGTATTGATTGTATTACCGATATTCATTATGGTCATAGTTTTAAAAAATTAAATGATATAAATTTAAGAAATCAATTACAACAAGATTTTAAAAATCAAACAATACCAAAACTAAACAACATTTTAGAAAATAATAAAAAAATATTGGATGAATCAAACAACCACTTCAAACAAATTCAAGAAAACAATACAAAAAATTATGATAAACTTTTTAATATATTTAAGGAATTAAAATATATTATCGATGCAAAAGAAAATGATATCAAAAGAGTATTAATAACTAAACTAGTCGAAAATACAGATGTAAATAGTATAATAACAACAACAATAGAAAACAATAATAATATAATTAATAATGCTATTAAATATAATAACGATGTTATTAATAATAATATTATTGTTAATAACAGTGGATTTATTGAATTTTTAAAACACAACCATCAATGTAACAATCTTTTATCAAAAATAAATAAAAAAAACTTACCAGAATACAAAGATACTCAATTAATAATTAGTGAAAATCTAGACTCAATAAAAGATCTAACAAACAGTTATTTAGAAGTGTTTGATATTCCTTTAGTTAAAAAAGATTTAAAAACTCTAAAATGTAAGTTTTAAATTAAAATTTTTATTTTTTATTATATACTAATAATTTTTAAATAAATTCATTTTAATATAGTGTATCGTAAAGAATTTAAAATTTATGAAGAAGGGTGTGATATAAGTAATTCTAAAATTGAATTCCTTGCTATTGGACCTAACGAATGTTTACCCAAAAATATTCCAGCAACAGTCAAAGAATTAGTATTACCTGATGGCTTTAATCAATCACTTAATTTTATACCACCCACTGTACAATCGTTATATTTTCATAACATCAAGTATCAATTGGCACTTGATTCAATTCCTGCAACAGTTACACGTTTATATTTACTTGATGGCTTTGATCAACCACTAAATTTTATACCACCCACCATAGAATACCTGCATTTACAAAATATCAAGTGTCAATTAACCCCTGATTCAATTCCAGCAACAGTTAAAAATTTATTTTTACAAAATGGCTTTGATCAACCACTTAATTTTATACCACCTACTGTACAATGGTTGTATTTACAAAAAATAAAGTATCAATTAAAATCTGGTTCAATTCCAGCAACAATTACATATTTATTTTTACAAGAGGGTTTCGATCAACCACTTAATTTTATACCACCCACCTTAAAATACTTGTATTTACAAAACATCGATTATCAATTAACAATTGATTCAATTCCAGCAACAGTTACTTATTTATATTTACGAGATGGCTTTAATCAACCACTTAATTTTATACCATCCACATTAGAATATTTGTATTTACAAAACATCAAATATCAATTAACACCTGATTCAATTCCAGCAACAGTAATACATTTACATTTACTTGATGGCTTTGATCAACCACTTAATTTTATACCACCCACTTTAAAATACTTGTATTTATATAACATTAAGTATCAATTAAAATCTGATTCAATTCCAGAAACAATTGCATATTTATATTTACAAGAGGGCTTTAATCAACCACTTAACTTTATACCACCCACCTTAAAACACTTGTATTTACAAAAAATCAAGTATCTATTAACACTTAATTCAATTCCAGCAACAGTTACACATTTATATTTACGAGATGGCTTTGATCAACCACTTAATTTTATACCACCCACCATAGAATACTTGTATTTACAAAACATCAAATATCAACCTGGTTTAACTCCAAATCATTTAACATTTCTTACATTTTCTAATGGTTTATCTACAACGTATTACAAAAAGTATAATCCTTGACTCTATAACTCAAATTTATATGGGCGATGTGGTCTACCCTTTATAACCCCATTCCATTTCATACCTCTAATTATTATTTCAACTATAAACATCAAATTGGAACTTTGAAAAAATAATAATGGTGGATATTATGTAAAATAAATATATAAAATAATAAATAAAAAAAAACTAAAAAATAAATAAATAAATAATAATTATAAAAACAAATATATTAATTTATAAAAAATTATAAATAAATAAAAATTTTAATAACCTGTAAAAAAAATAAATTGAATTTTTAATTAATTATTTTTATTTATTTTTCTTTATTAATTGTTAATAATAATAATTGATTTTAATGATCTAATATTAACAAAAGAAGCGGTAGATGGAATTAAAGATTTCTTTTTAATCTATTTTTAAATAATATGATTTTTTGATGTGTATAAATAATTGTGATCATAAAATTTTTTATTTTTTAATTTTTAATTTTTTTTTTTAAATTTTTTTTTTTTTTTTTTTTTTTAAATATATGATTACAATTCATGCGTATTTCATTCAACTATCTATATACCAATTTATTATCATAAATGATATATCGAAATTCATACTTTATTCCTTTTAAACTATATTTTATAAATGAATAATAATAAAATAATAATAAAAAAATAAAAATGATAAATTTAAAAATGATGTATGTTTAATTTTAAAAAAAAAATTTTATAAAAAAACACCCCACTTTTATTTAAATTATATTTTTTTTTGATTAATTTTTTTTTTTTTTAATTTTAAAATTTTAAAATTTTTATTTATGTTTTTTATATCAATTATTTTGGAAGAAATTCAGTGTGATAATAAAATATAATCAATTATATAATATATTATATACAAGTAAATAAAAAATTGATTATGAAAATCAGGTTGGTTTCTCAAATGATGATGAAATTTTCTTCAGCAGTAACAGAAGGTATATGTTTATTTCGAATTACAATTATAGAATTTGGATTAATTGAAAATTAAAATAGAAGAAATAGCAATAGAAAAATTGCTCTTATAGAGTATTTTCCTATTATAGAAGAAAAAAACTCTTTAATTTCAAATCAATAAATAATATAATATAAAAATTTACAATTTGGATTTTTAAAATAAAATTAAAATAAAATATAACATTATAATTTTTACAATAATGGTTTATATTTAAGGTACAACAAACTTGTACAGATGTAAGTAACAAATAACAAGAAACATGTTCTTTAAAAAAAAAAATATAAAAAATAAAAAAAATGAAGAATCCATCAAGTAACAAATACTTTAAAAAAAAAAAAAAATAAGTGGTGATACCAGCACAAACAAGAAACAAGTGCTTTAAAAAAATAAAAAGTTAAGATACCAGTACCAACAAGAAAAAGGTACAGATGTAAGTAAAAAATAACAAGAAACATGTTCTTTAAAAAAAAAAAGTGAAAATTCCAGCACCATCAAGAAACAAGTGCTTTAAAAAATGAAAATACCAGCACAAACAACAAACAAGTGCTTTAAAAAAAAAAAAAAAAAAAAAAAAAGGAGAAAATTCCACAACCAAATAGAACCAGGTAATCCTAAAAAATATCAAATTTTGGGGATTATTTAAATATATTTATTTAACATATAAAAAATCGAGGTATTATTATATTATTTAAAATTTCAAAAATAAATTTGGCTTTTAAACGATCTAGGAAATATTTTTGGATTTAAATAGTTCAAATTTTATATACTTTTTCGAAACAATGGGTTTAATTTATTTTTAAAATTTGAATTTTTT